ATTAAAATATTGCTCTATTAAAACTAGAGTGGAAATAACCAATTTCCTAAAGTAGAAATTTCCCTACCAAATGTTCCTATTTTTGCAAAATAAAATAGGTGATAGAAGTATTTTCTGTTAAAGAAATAGAAACAGAAGAGTCAAGGAGCTGGGAAATTATTTTATTACAGAAGAGGAGCTACTGCTTCTTCTGGGTACTAAAGTATAAACATGCATAGTCTTCAAAAATAAAGATTTATATAATCTGTCACTTCCCATGGAAGAAAAATGGAGAAGGATGGAATGAGGTGGAGGAAAGAGTTCTCCCCACAAAGCCATGGGGGGAGTCCCACTCACAACCACAGAATTCATGGCCACATCCTTTTTGTTCCTGCCAATTCTCTGGGAATGAAAAGGTGGAATGTAGTGGAAAGCAGAGGCAAAGACTAAAACCCTCTGTGGAGTTTCTTTGTAAATTGTTTTATGTATGAAACCTTAGACTTAACTACAAGGGCATGATCCAGGCATCTAAAGTGTGGGTTTCTCATTATTTGGGGAGGTGAAGAATTAATTTTCAACTTAATGTAATTTGATGATAACAATTTTTCACAACTGCTTCTAAACCAAGAAGGGGGATTTAGATCTCCCAAGAAATAATCCTCCCATTGCAGTGTTTCTTATGCTACTTAGGGTGGCTCGCCACCATCTCTGAGCCAACATATCATTGATCAGACTGAATGAGTCTTGCCTTCTGTTTTAGCCTTTGAAATCCATGGAGCAGAATGGACCAGGACTGGAGTACAGAGTGACCTGGAAGCCACAGGGAGCCCCAGTGGAGTGGGAAGAAGAAACAGTCACAAACCACACGTTGCGGGTCATGACTCCCACTGTCTATGCTCCTTACGATGTCCAAGTCCAAGCTATCAATCAGCTCGGCTCTGGGCCTGAGCCTCAGTCAGTGACTCTCTATTCTGGAGAAGACTGTAAGTGATACCCCTGAAGCTCCTAAGCACTTCAATAACCATTGCTCTCAAATATATTGCATTTATGTCCACAAACATTTGTTTGTTTGCAAAGAGGATATATGAGTGGGAGATAAAAAGAAATATAACACATGGTTCCTATTTTAGGATTGATGGCAGGACAGCTGATAGAGTGCTAAAGAAGTACTTTAAAAGTTTCAATTTTATTCAGTTTCCTAATAAAGCTGTTTTCTATATTGAAAATCAAAGACCTGGAATCATCACTGTAATCACTTAAGCGGCATAACTGTCATAAGGTTTTTAATTGCATTTGTCCTTACTTGTCAAAGACCTCCTAACAGCCACTTGCTAGCATGCTCTGGGCCTCAGTTGTGTGTCTGGAGTCCTCCTATCACCAATGAGATACAAATCCAGATTTGTATAGAGAATTATCTACACACATAATTTTGAGGTTCTGTTGATATGATCATACTTTTAAATTTTGATACCATAGTTACTGCTGCAAATAGATTCTTGGAAAAAGAAAAGACACTGCATTCCATATCACTAATGCACTGACAGCATTCTGTATGCACTAATAACATTAGGAGTTATTCTCATTACTCTTCCAAAGTAATAATTTAATCCAAAAAAAGAAGATGGAGAATGGGAAATGACTAACTCCTTATTCATCTGCTGTCTAAATTCTTCTACCCAAATAAAAAGGACACGAAACATATCACCTGTGAACTTAGATAGTATTATAATTGACTACTCTGTGTTTGGTTTATTCCTCTGTAGTAAGAACCCCTACACAATGGGGATAACAATACCCTCCTCACAGGGTTATCCTAAGGATTATATGAGCCAATCCAGGTAAGACCCTTAGAATAGTGCCTGACACACAGCATATGCTCAATTAATGTTAGCTGTTATTAGTATTTGATTGATAAAATCCTCAAGTGATTTTATTTATATTACTGGTCTATAACTTGTTTAGATGTAAGCTGCCCACAGAATGGTTTCTGATTATATTTTCCCACGTTGTATGTATCTGGAGAGCTTCCTTTCTCAGTGTGGGATAGGTGATTCTCTTCTCCTAGAAACCTATAGGGGCTGAGAAACCCCCGTGATGAGAAACTCTCTTGGTTCCATTTGGAATTGATTTCACAAAAGTGCTTTCGCCAGATTCAACATTATGAAAATCACCTTTTGAAAAGTATCGTAATAACCATGTTTGGAGGTTATTGAAAGCTAATCGATCTTACATGTTTAACAGATCCTGATACAGCTCCAGTGATCCACGGGGTGGATGTTATAAACAGTACATTAGTTAAAGTTACCTGGTCAACCATTCCAAAGGACAGAGTGCATGGACGTCTGAAAGGATATCAGGTTTGATATTATTTTTTCTTCTTGTTGAATTAATATCTTTCCTGAGAATAAATAAGAACTTATTTTTGGAAGAAGCCAAAGGAGAATCTTCAACCATGGTTGATATGTTAAAAGATCCCTATTTTCATTGCAGATAAATTGGTGGAAAACAAAAAGTCTGTTGGATGGGAGAACACATCCCAAAGAAGTGAACATTCTAAGATTTTCAGG